TCACAAGGTCTAAGTGATGCTTGCATATACAGCACCCTTCTCAGACACCGTTGGAACAGCCACAGTGAACGTTTGCTTGCAGCCAGCCATTGGGACCAAAGATGGGAGATTTTGATTTCCACAGGCACAAACTGACACTGAACCAGGCAACCCGCTGGCCTGACTGATGTCATAGGCTGCAATAATTGACTGGCACGGCCCAGCTTCCTCTGCTGACCCAGAACCCACGTTTAGTTTGTCCCACAAAACGGATAAGCTCTCTGCGTGCATTGGCACTGCTCAGAGCTGACTGCCCACAGTGTGGCTGTTCTGGGATACAGATCTGTGTTTGTGTATCCACCTTGGAAATACTGCATTTTAACTTACCCAGCTGTTGGGTTTTGTTCCTTGTTTTATTTTCTCCCATGTTTCTGTGATCTGGGAAATGGAGTGCTGTGTTGCCTTAAAACCCACCACTGCATTGCCACTCGTTATGACATGACAAAGTTACAATCCAATTAATGAAGGGAAAAAGCATTACTTTTCAATTTGATTGCCATTTATTATTCACTAGATACAGAGAATCAGTCACACTCAAATACCAGGGAGTCACATATGGGGGAAACAGTAAATCTAAAGACCAATGGAAGAAACACATTTTCAACTGAGTTATAACTTGGCATCAACTTGAACTCTGCCATGTTACAGCACAAAGTTGTCTAGGTACCTTTTCTTGATTTTTGGACATGCTGTTAACTCCCAGTCCAGCTTCTCCATAAAGAGAATTACATTTCCACTTATGCACAGAGCAGCACAATTTAAAATTATTTCAGCTTTCTCCTTTCATTTTTTATTAGTACTTTAATTGAATATAGCCCACTTACAAAGGCAAACAGGCATATACCACCTCTTCCAGGTCTGCACTAGCACAGCTAGCTCCTGTTTTGCTGTAGCAGCTACTTGGTATTTCATTAATATAAGCCAATACACTTTGCTCTATCACAGTTCATTCAGTGCTGGGGGGCCAAGACAACCAGACCACCTTGTATGCTATTAGCAAAAATACAGAAGGGAAGAAACAACACATGCACAACAGATCTGGTTACAATTTAGTGTCAACGTGAATTGCAATGAATGGGTCTTCATCCTCGTTATTAATCAGGAAATTAGCCATGCCATCATCAGCAACATGAACTTCAACTGCTGTACAGTAGTCACCTTTCTTTTCCCCAGAAATGACATCACAGTAAGTGCCAGCAGGCAGACCGGTCTGCAGAGTTACATTCAAAGACCTTTGGAAAATAATGAAATGCAATTAGAATTCTTTGGACTCTCAAATGCTTTGCAACCCATGCTAGAGACCTTCTCAGATGTTAGGTAATTCTGGAGCGGTTATTCTGCAGCACTTCCCTGGACACTCCAAAATCTATTCTCCCACAAAATGACAATACCCTAGGACTACTGAGTGAGGAGCCTAGAAAAAACACCAAAGGTTCATGCTGGGCTCAGGCATCTTAAGGCTGGTCAAGACACACTAGTTAAAATAATTTTTCGTGATAGCTCTTTTATATTATGGGCACTTAAAGGAATTTGGTTCTAATCACACAGGATTACTCCCCTTTACAATGAAGAAAAATAGTTACGTAAATAAATTAATTAATATAGTAGTATTTAAGTATTTACCACTTATGACAGGAAGCTTGGGTGCTCTTACTCTCCAGGAACTTTAGGACCTGAACTCCAGAACTTCATATGGCACTCTAGTGCAATTTAAATTTTTTCCTACCAAACCACAGTTAGCTTTTTTAGATTATCCTATTACAAGTTCTCAGAAATGTCTGTTAGTAACCTGGTTTTGAGCTTAAAGGTACTTGAGAAATGCCAGATTTCACACAGATATTGTATTTCTGACACCAATGAACTGTTGTGATGGACAGCACAGTAAGCTTGGAAAAGAAAGTTAACTGAGAACTCAACCACTACATCCTTCAAATTGCTCATCACCCCAGACTACTTCTAATTGTTATAGATCATGTTCTCTTAAATCATCCAATTCTTGTGTACAAGATTGCAAAACAGTTTATAAAACTGTCCCTTTTGGACTATATCCCTGAGTCTCTAAGTTCCCTCATTTCTGTAAGTTCAGACATTACTGATTGACCATGTTCCTCAGTGATACAGCCAACTGTAGGAATGGGGAAAGAGCAAGAGCACAGTACAACGTCTAACATGGGACAGTGAAGAGTGCTCCTGGTAGGGTGGAGAATTGTAAGTTTAAACTGCCAACCAAGACAGAGGAAGCATCTATTACAGAGATCTGTCGGAGCTCACAACTCCTTAAAAGCTTTCTCTGATAACTAGGCGAATTATAATTTATTCATCTCTTACGTACCAGTCATCATTATTGAAAACGATGAAGCCTTTATTACCACGGCCAAAAGCTACTTGATTGCTGCCATTGTCCCACCAGTTGGAGAAAGGTTGACCATCTACCACGTTACGGAAGATAACCATGTTCCTGAAAATGCAAGGAATGCCTGTCACTGGGCCTGCACGAGCTCTAAAGACACAGCAAACATCAAGCAAAAGCAACTGCTTTTACTCATTTTTTTCTCCACACTGTCCTACTTTATTTGACGCCAGCGATGTTCACAAACCCAGTCGTTGCCACAGGTAGTGTCTGGATTGATTGTGACAGGCTTCGTTGATCCATCCGGGTTACTTGGTGGTCCAACCCAATCATTGATGTCCTGTAATTAAAAAGAGAAGTTTAAAGCTTCTTAATGAAAACGCACAGAGCCTACCTGTAGAGAAAAGTTAGACGGAGCATCAAATTGCCACCTGCTACATCCAACATGGCACAGAGAAATCACTTAACAAATTTAAATGCACTGGACTGCTTCTCGGGCCCTGTTCTGTTCCTTATTCACCATGAATGTATCTTCAGCATTACAAGCTTACCCGCCCGTTTTCAAAATATCTTGGCCAGCGAAAACTTGACATCACACGTGTGAACCCATACGGATGAGCAAGCATGAAACCAACGGCCATTTTATAAAGCCTGTTTGTCAGACAAAAAAAATAATCATGTAATGAGAGGTGGAAAGGGAAAGCATGCCAGAGAACAGAGAGACAAACAAGCAAAAGGAAGCAGCATCCCCCAGACAAGAGCAATCCCTCACCTGGGGTCCCAGAAGGTTAGAATGGAAGCTCCACCAGCACCGTGCCCACGCTGGTTGTCATGATTATCCACAAAGACCACGGCTCTGTCAGAAGGCACAAAGCCCCAGCCTTCTCCCCAGTTCCTAGACAAAAACACAAAGACTTGTAGCTACCCTGCCAACTGATATATCCAGTGTATCCCAGGTAAGTCGCAGCATCTTCATTCTTACTTCAAGTAGGCCATCTTTTCTCCATTCCACTTGCGGATCACTGTCCCCAGTTTTGCACCATATTTGAATTCTGTCACTCGTCCATTTCCAAAGTAGTCACTGCCTTTGATCGGCTCTCCGCCCAAGTCAATTACCTGGTACAGGAAAGACAGAGCATTCCCTTCTACTTAAACAGACAAACAAACAAGTAAAAGGCATTGCTCTAGACATGGTTTTGAAGAAGAGGCACTACTGAAGCTAAGTATATTATTTGGCTTACTTGCAAAATTTGATTTAAAGCTATTTTCTTAATTTTATCTCAGCCTAGCTGTGAACTTGTTCTCTGTCTCCCTCTTGAATCTCCTTACCGTTATTGATCACTACCACATAACTAAGGCTCGGGCTGTACCAACTTTAATCTAGTCACCAGTGCCTCTGCTTCCAAGCACATGGGCAACCTCATTTTACTTTCTAGCTTAAAAATATTTCACTATTTGCCCTAGACTTTGTATGCAACATACTGATTTAATAAAATGGGTCTAGCAACTTTAGCTTCTGCTGACCTAAACCAACCATTACTTGCTTCTTAGGTCTTGTTAGAATATATTATTCAAACATAAACCACAAATTCAGAATGTCAAGTAACAATGGTAATGCCACTGAAAAACAAAGTTTCAGATCGTAATCACGATCTATATCTTCTGTTGCAATTTATAATACAGAATTTAAAATTCAGGGAGTGAAATGTCTTTTTTAAACCGAAAGAATTTTTACATTAACTTCAATGCAGTAAATTTAAACTCAAGTGGAATTTCCAGGTTACCAAGTTCCAGTAGGTCCAAAACAAGTCGGGTATTTTGCATGTCAATTACTATTTTGGGGCAGATTAGATATTCATAAGTTACCGTTATTAAATCTCGATGGTAATTTCCATAGATCTTGAGTCTGAAAGCCGCTTGGGCCCAGCTCAAGCAAAGTATCAATCCCAGTGTGGGACTGAGTCCATACTGTGCCCACAAGAAATATGTTTGTAAAGTACAATTAAAAAAATTAATCAAGATTACCTCCTGGTAAATGAAAGGTTTTGTTCCTGGAGAAAACCATTTAGTATTTAGGTCTTTCAGCTTGTCCAGAAATGCTTTCATGTCCCCAGGCCACATATGCTTGGCAGCATCCATTCGGAAGCCTGCTACGCCAATATCAATGAGGTAGTTCATGTACTCAGCAACTTTTGAGCGTACATAGTCCTTCTCCAGGGCCAGATCGAGAAGACTAACCAAGCGACAGTCTCGGACCTATATAAAAATTCTGAAATGAAACATTTTTCATCTAATAAACTAAATGTAGTATTCTACATACATTTTGAATTTTGTTTGCTACATTACAATGCCACATAAAACTTTCACCCGCCATTATTCACCACACATATCTTTGCCTTGGACAGTTATCTTGGACAGTCATCTACACAGAAGGAGCATTAAGAAGTCTGCATTCACCCCGCTCACACAGCTGTAGGAGCTGAAGGATTATAACACAGTCAAACCACTAAATCTATAATCAGCTTTCTGATGCAAGTATAGAGCAAAAATACGATTACTCCAATGTATTAAGGAACAGATTCATTACTATTTCAAGTGTACTCATTTCTTCTCTGATGTAGGAAAGATTTCTAGAAATTGTATTTCTAAATATTTTTAAAGAGTTATTATAGCTGTACGAAACATTAAATTCTTGTTTTCTGTCCCCTTTTTGACTTTGTTTCCTATAACTACAAAATGATGGGCATTGATTTTCATCAAAAGAATACTTTAAACATAAACCAAATATACTGAAATAATTTTTTAATAACTCTTACGATGGGTTTCCAGGCTATGCACATCTGCCTGGAGAGAGCAAGGTGCATAAGCCTATGTTGCAAACTGCACTAAAGAATTGGCTATAAAGATGCTCCTTTAGAACTGCGCAAGAATTCAGACACATTTAAAGTCTCCCCTTCTTCTGCCATTTCTTGAAAATACCTCTCCCCTCAACTTAGATTCAGGAAAGATCAAATACATTTGTAAGACATAAGACATTATTCAAGAAAGATAGGTATTTATCTTTATAAAATAATTTTTCATTCTGTGGGAGTTTTAAACTCTTGACCTCATAACCTGATACAGAGGAACAGACAGACTCCTGGAAGAGAAATCTCTAAACAGAGGGTTGATTTTCAAGATTTTAGCATTACTATTTTTCTTTATGAAATGCTAATCTCTCTCTTCTGAAATTGAGACCAAAGAAAACTTCCAAATTAAAATAAAAGGCAAATAATAACTTACTTTTTTATAAAAAAAAACACAAAACCCCCACACAAGATAACCTCTAAATAGATTTAAAAGATAAAAATAGATAAAAATAAAAAAATAGATTTATAAAATACCTAAGCACATTTGCCTCAATCTGAAATTGAGCCATCAGTTCAAGTAGAGCTATCCTTTTAAGTAGTTGTGTTCCTGATAGCAACGCAAACCTCTATTATCAATTTGGATGGTTTTCCATGAGGGTTCTTGTTCTGTTTTTAAAAAATGTTTGACAGTAAAGGAGAACAAATAAACCACAGCCCAGTAATGCATGTACATGAAAAATATATTTATAGTTCTAGGTTTACCTGAGATATATCCTGATAATTCTCAATGTCTCCACTTCTAGATTTACATTTACGATCATTAAAGTCCCAGCCAGAATATGGCACAGCTGGAAAATCTTCAGTCTTTGCATCGAAATAGCTTCCACAAGTAGCATGGTTGCCAGCACCAGCATTAGCTCCGCACATATGGTTGATTACTGCATCCACATAAATATGTACCTAGAGAATAGTATCCATATTCCAATTTGAGAAAGCTACTTCCCACAGCACCACTAATTAATGTTCTTTCTCTCTTGCCTCCTGCCCTGTCCCCCTATTTCTGCTTGCTTGTTTGCTTCCCACAACAGCCAGCGTGGCTTCAGCAAGGTCAAGTCCTGCCTGAACAAGCTAGTGGCCTTCTATGATGGAGTGACTACACCAGTGGACAAGGGAAGAGCTACAGATGTCATCTATCTGGACTTCTATAAGGCATTCGACACCGTCTCCCACAACATCCTTGTCTCTTAATTGGAGATACGGATTTGATGGGCCGACTGTACAGTGCATGAGGAATTGGTTGGATGGTCGCATCCAGAGGGTAGTGGTTAACAGCTCAATATCCAGATGGAGTTTGGTGCCAAGTAGTGTCCCTCAGGGGTCCATACTGGGAACAGTACTGTTTAATATCTTCACCAATGACATAGACAGTGGGATTGAATGCACTCTCAGCAAGTTTGCAGATGACACCAAGCTTAATGGTGTGGTTGACATGCCTGAGTGATACGATGCCATCCAGAGGGACCTGGACAAGTTCAAGAAGTGGGCCCATGTGAACCCCATGAGGTTCAACAAGGCCAAGTGCAAGGTCCTGAATGTGGGTTGGGGCAAACCCCGATATCAATACAGGCTGGGGGATGAAGGGATTGAAAGCAGCCTTGCCAAGAAGGACTTGGGGGTACTGGTGGATAAAAAGCTGGACATGAGCCAGCAACGTGCACTTGCAGCCCAGAAAGCCAACCATATCCTGGGCTGCATCAAAAGAAGCATGACCAGCAGGTCAAGGGGGATGATTCTGCCTCTCTACTCTGCTCTGGTAAGACCCCACCTGGAGTACTGCATCCAGCTCTGAAGCCCTCAGCACAGGAAAGACATGGACCTGTTGAAGAGGGTCCAGAGGAGGACTACAAAAACACTCAGTGGTCTGGAACACCTCTCCTATGAAGGCAGGCTGACAGAGTTAGTGTTGTTCATCCTGGAGAAGAGAAGGCCCCTGGGAGACCTTACTGCAGCCTTTCAGTACTTAAACGGGGCCTATCTGAAAGATAGGGACAAACTTTTTAGCAGGGCCTGTTGCAACAGGACAAGGTAATGGCTTTAAATTCAAAGAGGGCAGATTTAGACTAGATATAATGAGGAAATTTTGTACAATGAGGGTGGTGGAACACTGGCACAGGTTGCCCAGAGAGGTGGTAGATGCCCCATCCCTGGACACAGTCAAGGTCAGGTTGGACGGGGCTCTGAGCAACCTGATCTAGTTGAAGATGTTCCAGCCCATTGCAGGGGAGTTGCACTAGATGACCTTTAAAGGTCGCTTCCAACCCAAACTATTCTATGATTCTATGAAAAAAACCCAACATCTTCGCTCCAGTGCTACCATGTCTTCCCTTCTAAATTACCATCTGTCTATATCCTTGCATTGCTAACACCGGAAGGTTTTCAAAGCACTTACTCCAACATTGTTGCACCTGGTCACCATGTCTCTAAATTCAGTTTCATTTCCAGATCGTGTGCACAGCTTGTAGCTGACAGGCTGGTATCTTTCCCACCATGGTTGCTGGGGGTCAGTAATGATAATATTTTCATTTGGAGGCGAAATCTGTGAATAAGATGGTCTCTCTTGGTGACAGGATACTGATAATTGTTTAGTTGTTTGCCCAGTATTGTTAGAGAAAGAACATAAAAATAGAAAATCAGGTCCCTTTAATGGAAGACACTCATAATACCTGACTCATGTAGATCCTCATTATCCTCTGCTTACACTGTAGTGGGCTGGAAATAAAAGACTTAGTCCTGGCCCTTCAGCAGGTAGAAACATACTATAAAAATTATGTCCCTGGACATAGTGTCCTAATTATCTTCATGAACGCAGGCCTCAAAGATCAAAAGAAGGGTCTGAGACCTGAAGGACTAGGTCAGTAGAGAGAGCCCCGAATCGGGAAGGAACGGACTGCAGAACAACTGACGTAACATCCCACACTTAAAATTTATCCATCTTCGCATTTTTGTAATGTTTTGGAGAAAAGCATTCTTGACATGAGACTTTGTCACAGTTTCCAGATAAGCTATACCTCTTCCTTTTATAGAGTCTTTCCGGATACTTTTCAGGCAACAAGCTTTTGCTGCTACCTCCAAGTCTCTGGGCACAACCACCTGATGCCACCATTTGTCACAAAGATCCCTAGGCTGCAGCCTACTTAGCTGCCATGCCCTCGTGACCAGCTCAGCAAGTCGGCATCCAAAAAAGCTTACTTTCTGAGACCCTGCCACAGCACGGATTAAAAAGATATCCAAGGGTATACGATAGCCTGAGAAATCAGTTTAAAATCAATCAGGCCTCCGTGCCTGGAAAGAAGGTTGCAAATTAAAAAGGTATTATTTGAAAATTATGGGAAAATTCTCACTCAGGCCAACTTGCAAACTCCTGGGATACAAGAAACGGGCAGACTTCTCTCACCAGTTTTTCCTGAGCAATCTGACAAACCAACTGAAATAGTTTAATAGGTGATTGCTCTCCAGCCATACTACCCCACCCATCTGACACTAGTGGTTTCACAGGAACACGTGTCTGTTGTTCAGACGGAACAGATTCACATGGACACACCTCCACCAGAACCTGTGTTCAGTTCATTTTTGCCTGCTCACAACAGGTTCCTCCAAAGAAGCATCTCTTAATGGCTTACTCTGAAACCAGGCTTTACAGAGAGAAACTTGCCAGATTGGGTGAACACAGCCTTTTATATTTATTTATTTAAAACTTTCTGCACTTTGGTATTATCTTTGGGAGCCCTTTTTTCCAGTCATAGTTTCAATTTATGTTTACCTAGATCTTAAGAGCTTCCCTTGATTTAAATAATATTAAGCAGATAAAGATAGGTTACTCTTCACAGCAGTAAAAAAAAAGATTTAGCCAGCAATATGCAATTCTAATTCATCTAAATGTAATAGCACTGAGTGCAAAACATACACTTTGGAGCAATGAAATAAATTTGCGCTTACGCGATGATGGCTGAAGAATATATTTGTCAGCATTTACTACTTCCATTACCAATTTCTATTTTTCTTTCTCAGTACCTGTCCTTTGGTGAATTGAGCATTTTCTCTGAAAAACAAATTATCATCTGTGCAGCAATTTTACTACCTACTGATAGGAACAGACATACCTGAACTCCTCCAAATCCATTAGGAGCTAAATAGCGTTCACACTCAAGAGCAATATCCTCCCAGCGCCATTCAAAGAGATGTACAATAGACGTCCTCCCAGAGAGAGTATTAGGGTTGTACTGTGCCCAGCAAACCCCTACAATTAACAGAAGAAAATAGATACCCATCCTGTGCTCTGTGACCAGTTGCGCTCTTCTCACTGCCTATTTGTGTTCCTGCAAGAGGGTAAAGTACACATTACAAAATACACATTTAAAAGTAAATGCCCATCTCTGGCATCGCATTTATTTAACTCTATTTGATTGCCATTTTGTTTGAGAATTAGATTCTACCTAAGCTATGTCAATCTCCCATACTAATGGTAACTTTGTTTTTCTGAGCTTAAAATTCAGACATTGTCTAATACAGGCTGTCTTTAGTGTGCAAAAGTTGTACTTTTATTAGCATAAAGCCAAAAAAACCCCACCCTAAAAGGAGGAGTACTTATATAGACTGAAATGGACATTTCATTTCTCATTTTAATGAATTTTACATTCCTATTTATCCTTGAGAGGCTTTTTTTTTTTTTTTTCAATCTGTATTACAACTATAACTTGTACATATTCAGAGGAGGCCTTGGAAAAGCAGCATGTTTGTTATTGTGAGTTGCCATGAAACCCCACGTATTTTGGAGGTCTAAAATATGCAAGTCTGTCATTCATGATACGCATGACTTGCATCATTCAAACAACAGCCCTGATCTTGGAAGATCTCTCAGATACATAAGTGACTATAGTGACTCATAACCAGAAAAACAAATTGTTTAACCTCTGTACACCTGTACAATTTGTGTGGCGTTATTCTTCTCCCAGAGAACATAACGCAATGGCATGCAGAGGTCAGAAGTGCTGTGAAGCTCCATCACCATGAAGTCTCTTTTTCAGAGCCCAGGTACAGAGTGCTGCATATGCACTGAAGCAGCATTCCAGACGAGGAAAATCAGCTGCATTATGTACTGATCAGCTCGGCTAGGAACTATACCTCCCAATTCATTTGTATTTCCTTATATACGAACACAGATTACAAGAATATTAAAATTGCCTCTCCTTTTTCTCATCTAAAGAAAGATACAACTTAAAAGAAACCAGAAGTTAAACAGATATCAAGGTTTACGTTACACTATTTAGGACCTCATTTTGTACTCTTCCTATTTAGAAGTTGATTTAGAGAGTCTGATACACAAAGAAGTCCCACAAGGAGATCTTTTGCAAACAACAGCCTGAACTACTACTAACTTCCCTTAAATAACAAAACACAGAATCTTGTTACTTTCCTCTAAGTATCTATTCTTTATAAAAAACTATTTTAACACAGAAACAACACAGGGCAAAGAGGGACACAGGGGACACCAAACACTTCAGTGAAGGCCTAAACATGAACACAGAGGCCTTCAGGTTTGCTACACGAAAGAAACCTGCACCCTTTCCTGATTTAATGCACATTTGAGAATGAATTGGTGAAAACTCCAACTTGTTCTAATACAGATACCCAAACTATATAAAGTCTTACATGATTTCTACAAAACGACCCTCATTTTTATTTCAAGGAAAGGATAATCCATATCTCTCAGTCAGTGGAGCTGTACTATTAGCAAATTCAAGCATAAAATATGCCAGCTTAGTGCAGAACCTGCCTTCCAGAGCCTGTTGCTATCAGCTGTCACTGTACTTCACAGGCAGCCAGAGTTATTTAGAATGAATCATTTGGTAAATTTAGCTTGTTTTTCTTCTTGTAAACAAAATAATTTTAATGGAATTATTTACTTGTAATCTTCAGTAGAGTATACAGCTAAATTTCAGCCATAAGCCGTTGTTCTATGTGCTTCCATTTCCATGGAAGAATGCTTCTTTGCCCTGATAGGAAGAACACACATTAACAGAAAACAATCTAAGAAAGTTCCACCTTCTCTGATGAGAGCAGCCATTTATCAGACTGGCAATTTTACTTACATCAGTAAGCACACAAAGCAGTAAATTACACAAAGCAGCAATAATAATACATTTTGACCCAACCAGCTCTAAGGCCTAGTGCTTGAAGACAAGACTCAATGTAGTTTTTCAATTCTTTGAAATAGCTTTACAGCTGCACTGGCTTCAGTAAAAGCAATGACAAGAGAATGGAGATGTTGAAATCCGCAACACACTCTGAAGGCTCTAGCTACAAAATGCCTTTGAAACTTGGGGAAAAAAGAGGCCTGTATTCTTCTATGGAAGAAAAGAAGAGCACAACTGATTGCAATTCAAAGAACATGGGAAAGAATTGTTTCTGAAGAACACCATTGATGTCTCGGACAATGTGAGAACTCAGGTCAGCTAGTCTTCTGCTGGGTTAAAGGTCTGCGGTATGAAACTCAGCCGCTATCTCCAAAATACCAGAAACAACATTTAAATCTGCGAGAGGTTTGACACACGCCTGCTGAAGCTTCAGACGTTAAAGGCTGTTAAAGGTAAGGAGTTTCCATGTGAACTTCTAGTCACTCCCCACAGAACCTCCCTCAGCAGCTACACAGCGTCACACAGACGAAGCAACTCGGCTTCAGCACCTCCCTTAGACCGCGGCGCTGCCCCTCGCACAGTGCTCGTCTGGACCAATTCTACCCACCGTAACGCCTGCCGCGCCTCTTTAGCACATACAGGCAATAAACACACCACCAGCGAGCAGCGCAACTCAATACGTACATTTTGGGGCTAGCCTGCGTCATTCTCAGCGGACTCCAGCAGCATCACCCCGTCCGCCGGGGCAGCAGCCGGGGGAGCTCAGCCCCTTCCGCCGGGGCGGAGCGGCGCGGCGCGGCTGGGAGCGCTGCCGGCGGCCGAGGAAGGGAGGTCCGGCCCCTCCGCGCCGCGCCAGGTCTGCCAGTGGGGGAACGCTTACACAGTCAAATAAACTGGTTTATCTAAAAGCTTGGTATTACACGTGTATAACTGCACATTCCGGAATATTTGTTCTCGAGATTTGAGAAAGGAAATCCCTCTACACGAACACTTTTTTTTTTTTTTAAAGTATTTTTGTCTTTGAGTAGAGCACCACCTTGCTGTTATCCTACCTCACTGCTTTGAAAACTTAGTTGGCCTTTTACGCAATATTTTAATAGGTTGGTTGCGTACTTGTAACTCAACGTGGGTATTAAGACGTATTACACATTTCCTCTATTATATGCCTTTTTACGTGCCATAAAATGAGTCACAAAGCTTTGTGAAGTGGTTCCATCCGGACCCAGCCTAAAAATGTGGCAGCACCAAGAAGGGTTCCAGATCTCTGAAGACTACAGTAGATTAACTAGTATTTTCTACTTTAATGATGCTACAGTGGCTTTGCCATACAAAGTAACAAATGGAGTTTGTCATTATCAGAATAATATTTCTTTTCTCTGGGAACAGTCAAAGCCACAACTGGGGTAAATATTTGTGTGTATAAAATATAAAAGGATCTCAGGAGCTGGAGTAAAAGACTCAGGGAGGAGTTGCAGGACTCAAGTGTTTGTCCTACAACAGGACCAATAACAATGTAAGCTACTCAAGGAAACCAAAGTATTTACAATAGCAAATGCATTCTCATCAGTCTTGTATCAACTAGGGAGATACATTTAAAGAATAAACTAGAAATAGTTGGAAAATGTCCTAGGAAACAATAAAAGAAAAGTGAGTCTCAGTTTGATGTTAGATCCCCTCCTAGGTGTCAACTTCCAAAGACAGGAAGGGATAACAAAGATGCAAGCTGTGTAACATGAGATGTCTTTGTGAATTTTCCAAGTTACTATTGTCATAAGGATAATTTAGCTAGAAACCGTTCATTTCTGAATGCACGTTAACTGCACTTCGCATATGACATTATTATTATTATTTTTACCTTCTCAAAACCAAAATTTCTGTACCATACAGTCAAGTCCCTAAAATTCAAAGTGTTTGAGAAAAAAAACATTCAAAAGACTGGAAGTGAAGATGAGCCTTATATATCAAACTCACACTGAGGAAATGTGCATGCTTTTTAAAAATCCATCTCTTTAGAGTTAAAAGCATCTTAGAATGACCTTCTGAATTTGGCTTTCAAAGAAAATTCTGAGAAGGCACACAACTCACATTTACATATAGAAAATAAATCCAATTTAGCTTCTGCTATCACAAGATCTTTGCTATATCAAGGAGTCAATTTACACAAGAGCACTATAGTAAAATTCGTGATTGTTAAGTTATCTGAGTCAGCCTCACCTTGAGAATTATAGTGATGTGAGTATATTCAAAAGTTTAATTAAATAAGAAATGTTGCTGTGTCTAGATGTCATTAGCTAATGAAGAAAAATTGTGAAACAAGCCTGCATTGACCGCCTATGTGCGATCTTGGAAGCTGGCACTAATGACTTGTTAAAAAAAATAGAGGGCATTTGACCCAAATGTCAGATCAAACAGAACAAATGTTCCCTGGGAAAGAAAACAAACAAACAAAAACAAAAAAACAACCAGCAGAAATTGGTATACAAAACCCGCTTGATTTAAGGGAATGAAAGCTCTGCCTTCTGACTTCAAAAAAATTTCTCTCAACCAGACTGCAGAATTTTCCTTGATAGATTATCAGTATTGGATGGTGGGGAGTATGTTTTATACAGAACAGTAAAAAAAAAAAAAAGTTAAGCCACTTTTTCCTCACTAATCATCATAAACCCTTCAAAAGTTCTCATAAAACTTCTCCCTAGTGTATTTTTCCTGGCCTATTACTCCAAATACAGGTAAGCTAAACCAATGAAACACGACACAGTCCACATGGAAACGCAGCAAATAAGCTAAGAAGAATTCCAGTAAAAGCATTTTGAAGTCAGTTCATATAGAAAAAACATCAGAGACACTTATATTGGTCCAGCAATCAATACTAGTGATTTAGGCTGCTTGCAGCTGAAATGAAGACAAAAGTCTTCACACCAGCCTGTTACCACACTATCAACTATGAATTACAGAATAATTTTCTCCTTAAATCCATTGGACTCTTTTGCCGAGTAAACGTCATTGCAGTGTTTCCCATGTGGTTTTGTAAAGTTACACTAAACTTCCTAGTATGTACCAAAGCTTAATATGTGACCTCCACAGCATTGATTTTTGTTAAACACAGCTCAACAGGGCAAGGACCACACCTACACTGGTTTAACACTGTTTTAACTGCTACGCTTGTTTTAGTGACTTTAGTCTCACTAGTGATATTTTTCAAGATGTGGATGAACAATGAAAGTTGATTACTGAGGGAAAAACAGTGCCTAATTTCACAGTACAAATTCATGCCATTGCACTAGTCCTCCTGCTTAGTCTCCATAACAAGAAATAGATTTACACTAAAATGAGATTATCCTTAGATTTTTCTTATCTTTTAACCCTGGAACACTAACAGCTAAACATCATACTCAAGGAGGTGCATATTAAGATATTCTCAGAATCACCTAGAACATGCTGCACTGGTTACAATCGGACTGTTCACCTTTTCAGGGGAAAAAAAAAAGGCAAAAAAACCCCAAACACACCCACAAACATGTCTTCCTCCTCCTTCTCCACTCCAAAACCAAAACCCCACAATAAAACAGAAGTCAAAATGAAGAGAAAAAGGCAAAACAAAGAGAAAGGAAATAATTTATTAGAGATTTCACAAGCAAACTAACATACATTTATCATATAAGTCTTGTGACAGTTTAAAGATATCTGGAATCTTTAAGATGAGAAAGTTTATACTCTGCCTTAAATACTTTAGAAATGCCACTACGCACAGTTCAAGAGTCCTGATGATTACACTGCTTCTTCGCCCATGGAGATGGAACACAAAAGGGACCTGGAACATCACAAAGGCATGTTAAAAGTAAGAACAACCAGAAAATAGTAGTGTTACACTTTCTTTTGACAACTAAATTGAAAGATGCTTAGTATTTAGAAAAGCGCTGAATGTCCGAAAAAATCTGACTTAATAGATACAGACTACAAAATTTAAAGTTAAACAATAATGTGATATAAAACCCACAAGAAAAATGTTAGTCACTGGCAACACTACCTCAGTGCAGAGAACAATCAAAAAAAAACCCAACAACAAAAAGGTAGCAGTGATTAATAGTTGATTAATAGTTCAATTCCAAATAATTCATTGCAAGACATTGTTAGATTTTCTTCTCTACTCAAAAAAGAAAAAGTAAGGAATGTACAAACTAAGTCAACTACTAATTGTTTCTCATATACCAGGACAACAGTAATCATCAAATGATCTAAAATACGGTCAACCCTTTAATATTAAGAATTGCTCTGCAACATATTTTAACCAATATAGTAGTATTATTGTATTTATTTAAAGAAAAACAAGACGAAGTCCTCAGTGTAAGCTCAGCACAGCGCCACACACATCAGTGGAACACTTCCAGCTCATACAAGCTAAGGAATTGGACCACAAATTAGCAAGTTATATGACCTTTGAGGAAGAAGGTGGAAGACACATTTTAAGACTAGGAACCTTCATTGTGTCTATTCATACAACACAGACAACTCATATTTTTTTTTCCCCCTGAAAAAGTGCCCTTTAAAATTAACAGATTATTTCAAGCTGTAAAACACGTAAACTCCTCCCCACACCTACTCTACAAAAACTTAGATATAGTTGAGTGCTACGGGAAACATTGCACAAAAAAAGGATACAACAAGAAAGGATACACTCTGCATGACAGTATTACTGCAGTATATACGCAGGAATGTTTCTAAAGAAGAACAGCAGAATGTGGTTTAATTTTACTTGATTCTCAGTATTGCACATACATAACTTTATGCTACCTATCAAAAGCATATATGCCTCTTCGATAAAACACAGTTTTGATCACTTATGGGATTTAATGAAAGCTGATGAGTCCAACACTAAACTTCATATTCAAAATTAAATACATTTTCTTCATAACTTGAACTATTAGGACAACACCAGATTTTTCTGTCTCATTAATTCTCCTTCAGGTCTTTGCTATTTTAAAGACTCACTCCATCAAGTACAAAACCCAAACATCTTTCCATTCAATGCAGGCTTTCAAGTCACTTCTTCCCTATGAAGAAGCGGGGACTTCTCAACATCAGTTTCTTCTACATAACCTTTCTCCCAAAAAGCTGTATTTTTCCTACAGAAAAAGTAGTCACCCCAAGTATCAACTGAAATTTTTTGCCAGTCCATCACAAAAAAGACATTTCAGCCAGCAAGGAGTTACATAGTATTTTTATAAACCATATGGATTATTTTCGCTACAAAGGATAAAACCTTTGTAGACAAAATACTGAAAAAAAAAAAAAAAATGTTTGCAATGGCATTCATTAACACAGCTTCTTCCTGTTTAAAAATAATGACAAGTTTAATTTTTGTCAATTTAGTTGTTAAAAAAAATAAAATAATAATAATAACAACAACACTGACACATGGGATACAGATCAAATTTAAAGTCCCTCAAGTGTTTGCATAAACTTGTTTATGTGCATATTTATCTTTCAAATGAGATTCTGACACTGTTCTTCCTTACAGACTCACATTTCTATAATGAATTTTTGCATCATAAATCAGCATCCATCAGAGTATTCCAGCAGGATCAGGAAAACATAGTCACGCAGAAATAGGGTTCAGTTTCATCATTAGTTGGGACATGAAATAAATATTTGTAATTAAACCTCATGGATCCCTAAAAATTATTATTAGTCTATGGCACATTCTGTGATCTTCACATACAAATGGCCAAGGTAAGGAAGAAGTTCTGCCCATGATACGTTAAACCAATGACAATAGAGTAACTCCTGCAGACTTTCAGGTGCACAGATAAATCATACATAAGTACATGTCCACTCACTCTAAAAAAAGCTTCCGAGTTGACCATCAACATGATTAATAACCAAATAACACGTCATTATTTTCTTTATGTAATTCAAGTATTATTTAGCATGTTTATTGAAGTCAGAATTAGATTTAATTGGTATTTATTAATTGGAAAGATATGGAATTCCTAAAAGCAGAAATGTGTTCAGACTTCATTTATAAGGCTTTCCAACCAACAGCTAAAATACTTCAGGTTTCTTTTTTGCATTTAAAGAAACCTTAGTAATTTTATTCTTAGTAGAAACCGGATAAAATAATATAAATACAATTTTTTTTCCTAACATGGAAGGAGAAAAGAACAAGACTGAAACATTCCCATAAATCCTTGTTCTTAATAGAATACTTGAGCCAAGGCTTATTTGTCTCTTTTCAATGACCAATACAGAGGAATGCCTGTAAAATAAGCGATCTTTAATTTGATAAAATAAAATAGAGATTTTGCAAACCACAAATCAATAACTGAAAACAGAAAGTGGTAAGACCAAAGAGAATCTCAGAAGTGAGGGAAACAAGCTCAAATATAACCTGATGAAAAAATCCTTCGACAACTGACAGAACAAGAAACCCACAATTAAAATAACTGTTCTAAATAGAAATACTACGCTCACAATAATCATACTATGGGATATCCAATCAATTTTTACAAAATCAAAACCAGCTGTTCACATCCTTTTTTTCAAACTTCAGTTTTTTTTCCAAAGTAACAATGATCAAAACATCCAGATTAAAAACACATCATAGAGTAAGTAGAATGTTTCAGAAGCATTCAGCCTAATCTTTCAGTTCACTTGGTCTCAGGTGGAGGCATAACCGGAGTGATGCCCAACTGTAATCTGTAATTAAGCTAAATACCCTTTAAATTTGAGCTAGCTGATCAATCAGAGGGTGCAGATTGAGAAATAAGTGCTTCTAACTCGTGTACCAGTTACTTCACATGCTAATTTGAGACAGTTCACTACTCTAATGTCTTTAGGCCATGAAAATCCTCACAGTTAAATTAGAGCTGATTTTGCTTCAGTTACTCTCATATAAAGCAAATATTTAGAGTAAGCAGTAGTGAAGTAAAGCTATACAATAGGACATAAAATTTGTGATTACTTTCTGCTAAAAGTTACTTTCCCATCAATTTTAGACAATAATGCCAAAAATCAGGACCTATGCATTCCACAAAGGAAGCCTTGATCAATGCAACATTAAGTAGCACTTTCTGACACAATATCCTTTCCTAAATCAGGCAAATTTAAAGGATGCTGCCACAGTACTAAGTGCTAACTTTCTAAAGTTAGGAAAGCCAAAGGTCCTTTACAGAGCTAGTAGAAGTGAGTTGATTGCTGGAAACCATTCTTCAGGATCACTTTACAATGGCAGGGACAGCAGGGGAATAAGAAAAGAGGCAACTCTTTTCAAACCCCAAACCCCAGAAGATTTAGTACTAAAAGGTAAGTGGATCAGCTTCCACAGAGTTATTCTCCACAGCTCCTCACATCAAGGATCAGAGAAACTGACAACTATCCTAGGATACCAGGATTATGGAAATGGCAGTCTCTGAGTTTCTAACAGAGGAAGAAGCAACGTGTTAAACTCACACCAACTATATAACTTGCATTCTGGTTTTCTGATATAAGTGCGTGTTTAAGAAAAGAAAATTGTATGGAAAATTCCCCCTCCACCATCACTATTTCTAAAGCAGCCATTAAAAAGATAATAAATAAAAACAAACAAAAAAACCCTTAACAAAACAAATGAACAAAAACCCCAGCCTATTTCTTTATTTTTATTTTGAGGCAGAGAATCCATACCTTGTGCAGTGTTCTACTTTTTTCTTTTCCCTTCATTGGCATCCTGTTTTGGTCTAGCTGAACGAGCAAATTGCTGAGATTCCGTTAAGGACTACAAGTGTCAATGATAAAGAGGCCAATCAAGAAGCAAAAAAGTATTATTTCAGCAAAAGATAGTTTAAGAAGCAGCCTTTATCTGTGAATCAATTCTACTACAGTATTAAATATTATAACAACAGCATCTATTAGTCAAAGATTAGGACCTCACTCATCTGCAGTACAAAAAAATCTAAGAGAATCCGCTCAAGAGTTGACAGTACCAGGTAAATAAAGAGAAGTAATCAGGAATGAGTTAGGTGCAAAGAGAATAACTGCAGCAGGATAAATGCTTGATATTTAATCCTCCATCCCAGCAAGTTAATCTCACAACTTTGATGTCTGTCTCAGTGGGTACTTGGGAAGAAATAAGCTAAAATGAAGAGAGGTTGGGATAAGCAAGAAATAAACAATGAAACACTTAAGTGAAAAATAAGAAAGGAAAAGAAGAGATTTAAAACTTACAGATAAAAAACAGGGCAATGCAATTGGAAAGTATAGAAATCCCAACTTGTTACACTGCCCCAAACAGTAACTGACAGTTCCAGCTGGAGAAGCAGTCCAAATAGAGACAACTGACCCCGATAGGAACGTTTCTTTATGTTCTTGATTCTGCAAACATAGGTTTAACCAAGTCAAAAAAACGTACTTAATTGAAAGTCATACAAGCTACATTATCTTTTGCCTTGAGTTCGCAGTATGAAAGAGCTAAGACGAGAAGTAAATTTTATTGTCTTAAACAAAGCACATTTACTTTCCTATTTCAGAAGACGTGCCTCTATATATTTTTCAGTTATAAAATTAACAATATTACACTATGCTATGCTGCCTGGTTTTCTTAAGGTATTACCTCTTTCCATAGACTTCTAATAAGTAGAACACAATGACAGCAAAACTAGAGACTGACAGACAGATTACAAAGAATATAATGTAAATGTTTGAGGAAAAAGATACAACCACCATGGGTTTTTCAAATAAGACATATCCATTTGCTTCTTTTAAAGCTTTAGCAGCTGCCTTTTCATTAGGAAGTCCAATGAAAGCCTGTCCCTTCATACGGCCTTCTTTCATCAAACGTATATCAAACCTAGAGGCAAAATTGAGAATTGGCAATTACTCATGTTTAACCACACTTTTATATTTCACAGTACAAATGTAATTCTTATGCTTCAAGCTGGATAAAATGCAGAAACAAAAACAAAGCCTACAAGCAGGAATTATATCATTGGAAGCCACTTTGCCTGGGAAAACCATTTCGTAAAAATGATGTTAGACTGCAGGATGGCAAATTGGCGTGCAACTGTAGTAAATATGACACATGCAAAACAATCAGATATGCACAATCATCTACACTGTTCATTCTGTGTCTCCCAGCCAATAAACAGTAAATTTGGTAATAAAAATATAAGGGCAAAACAATAGGGTCTTCAGACACTGTTCAAAAAATAATTCCACTTCTGTACTTGTGATAGATGAAGATTTTCAGACGAAAGGCATTTTTTCTTTATGCAGAAGCACAAAGAAAAAAGTAAAGATGATTAGTTTTTAAATCACAATTTTCACCAATACTATAGAAGTGAACATAAAGGGCTTAACTTTAACCAAGTATCAAATTAACTTACATATTTCGTTCTACTTCTGACTGGAAGTCAACATATCTTCCAAAAATGAATTTGAGATCCTGAAATTAAAGGGTAGGTATAAGAGGAAAGCTGATAAAAAGCCCCTTTGATAAATATTTAATTTGCTTGTTTACCTACCTTTTCTTGAACTTGTTTAGCTAAATTCTTCACATATATCCTGCAATTTGGATCACCTGGCTCATAGTTTTTGAAAACAGAAAATTTTTCCATTTCTTGAAGAAGACAGAAAAACAGACAGTGTTTTAGGTCATTTAATTACTTTGTATTTTTGCTCAGTATAAAATAAGCAAATTGAATATATGATCAATTAATAAAGGAATACTTATTTAAACTAATTATTTCAACAAATCAAAGAGCTATTATTAGACAACTTATTCTCACAGCTGTACCTTCTCTAGAAAGTCTATTTTTTTCAAGATCCCTTCGAGAAATAAATTCTGATGGTATTTCATCATCCTCTTCTTCAGTTTCCATTTTATCATTTGAGCTAGGAGCTGGAAAAATCCTTCCAAAACCTGTATTATTGACTTCTTCTGTGGTTGCATGAAGGTCTGAAATTTCAACACATTATGTAAGTGGTTTGTATGTTTATTCACTATAGGATCAACAGCAAGCAAAGAAGTATACCCCTTCCAGTAATATTTTAACATAGTAGACTTTGCAAAGCAATTTGAACAGATCCTTAAAGAAATGTGTCTTAATCTCTGGTTTGACAAACACACCTGCTCTATATGGTCCTACAAAATCAACTGTACTACAAATAAAAGCGCATGCCAGTTAAAGTAAAACTAGCCTTGCTGCTCAAGCCTGTATCTATTTCAATGGTTTATCTAATTTTCATTCAGAGAAACTGTATATTACTGTAAAGTGCCAAGAAACACAGACTGACCATAACCCTATAAGAAACCATCACACCTCATTGCTATTATTTGCCAGCATTTTTATAGCAGATAATCAGTGCATCACAGAGAATGAGTTGGCAACCACTTGAATGCTGCTCTCTAAGAGCCAGAAAAGGAAAATCTGAAATTAGCCTGATATATTCAGTTACATTATATAACACTGAGAATGCATTTGTAACACAAATGCAAAGATGCAAGTTGGCGTTCTTAAACCCTGATGTATACTATTTATGAAAGCTCCAATACAAAACAAGAAAAGAATTCCCAGGCGTAAACTTTAGCAGCCTTCTACACACCGAAACATGAATTTATATTAAATACATTTGGAGTACAATCTCTCTTACCATTTTTTTCTTCCTTTTCTGAGTTTATCTGAAGAACAGCTGGGATGTCAGTAGTAATATGGAACTCAATTTTTTTATGACCTACATGCTGTGGCTGCTCAAAGACATCTGAAGGTGACAGCGTAGGGTGCAAATTACTGTTTAAAACAACAACATGTTAACTAAAGAGTCAGACACTGATGAATGCATAGTCAAATACAAGATCTCTTCCAGATAGATTTTATGCTGTTGTTTACCACAAATACATGAGTTCTCCATTTCATAAATTTCACCCAATGCAGTTCAAGGTGATTAAAATACTGCAAATACAGTAGGTATGGCTGTCAGTGAGAGCAAAACCAAGAATTACATACCACATAACAGTATAGACAGGCACTTATGAAAATATTTATCAGTAACATAAATACAAAAAAAACCCCACAACTGGCTTTGCTGCTGCTCTCATATAGTGTATAAAATGTACCAAGTTTTCCAAAAATATAACCAACCGCTTGGAGGAAGAAGGCAGCTGTTAGTAAAAATGTGTTCACAATTGATCATTGCTACATAGAAATACTACACTGGTATCTACTGGGCCATAGTACTGCAGTTTCAAAAAACAACGTTATTTAAAACCAAGTCAGTTTTTATTCTTCCAGTATCATCCTTTTAAAAAATTATTTTAAATTTTAAGAAGTATCCCAAACAATAGATCCAGATTGCTTCTGTCACGGCTGTGATATGAAATTGATTTTCTTTTTTATAAAAAAGGGATTTGTATTAGTTTGAAAGCAAGAAGCACAGAGCTTGAACCAGGCACACTTTACAGATTAAGGCTGTTGAGCAGACTTGAGTTGAAATTACATTAATACTTGGACTTTTAGAGCAATAAAGTCAAGTGTGAGGATAAGGGAAGACGAACTCTACTGCCAAATTTACGTATCAGTGAAGAATGCTTGTTTTAAAACAGTAACACTAAAGCAAACACGATAAAGAGAACATCCTTTAGTAAAAGAAATAATCTTTTGAAAAACTGCAAAGAACACAGAAATAATACAAACCTGTGGGGAGTACACACAGGAACATTCAATAAGTCTTTAATTCTTTGCTTTTTTCTAACACCACGCCTCTTTGTGTTTATTGGTCTTTTAGGCTGAAGCGTTGCTAATTCCATCAACTTGGTCATTCTATTTCAAACAAAATTTAAAACCAAAGTGGTTTACAGTTTATTTGAAAATACTGATTTTGAAAACCCTCCCCCTTCCTTAAAGCCCTTGAAATACAACTTTTCAGAATACGGCTATAAATCTAGCTACCCTAAGACCAAAACTACATTAATAAACTATAACACGTAGCAAATCAATACACACAGCACTTAAATGACCAATCAAAATCGTAATGAGTTCAGTGATGCCCCTTCCTTCCCTTAGCATGCACCTAATTAAGAAACTGAAGCTGCAGAAATGCTAAGAAGCCCAAAGCTGAATATTTTTTAATAATACTATTTCCACTCAACAGGAGTGGTTTTTTTCCAAATGCATGTATTTTTCTGAATGTAGCATGGGGGCTTTCTGATTTCTTTTCAGTTTAAATAGTAAATGAAGAAAATTGCTTCTTCATTTAGCATTAGTTTAAAGATTAAAAAAAAAAACCCCGAACAGCTATTATGCAATTCAGTCCCAAAACTGTAAAAGAATCCTCAGTCCATACAACCTCCCATTATTATTACTCTTAGCAATACCCACTGATGTACAATGTTTCCAAAATGTTTTTATTTTGGAAGTCAGAGTGCACATATGACTCAGGCTGAGTAGTTTACTCAGCAAAGATGCGGAAAAATGAAGAATTTAGAAAACAAACTAATTATTGCTTCCTTCCATCTGCACTCTCTCTTCATTCTGAGTTTTTGTTTTGTTGGGGTTTTGGACATGGGAACAAATGATAATTTCCATACCATTTGGCCATTTGCCATCTCTTACTGTGATTCAAAACAGCACTGTCCTGTTTTTAAGTCACTCTGGAGCTTCCTTAAGCATTGGGAAATATTATCTATTTACTGCAAATATTAACAGATTCCACTATTTGCTGAACTAGAAGCTAGAAAGTAAAAACACCACTTTAAAAAAAGCCCAAAAGCTTACAAATTACTCTAAAACGCATACCTCTCCTTTTCCTCCTCATTATCACTTTCATATTCTGATTCATCTCCGCTAGATACTTGCTCTTCTTCCTCTTCAGGCAAAGGAGGCTCTTCAGGAGGCAGAGGTGGGATTGGGGGAGGTGGCACAGGCACTGGTAGATACTCTTCATACTAATTGTGGGGAAAAAGTTTTTTTAAAAAAAGTAACTACACATTTTAAGAAAAATACCCTACATATCCTGTTTTCCTTTACATAATAAAAACACTCAAAGCAATAAATTAGAAGATGACAAGAAGCATTTTTTAAAGCAGGTTTATAGGGATCTATATGCTATTTTGCTAAACTACATTACTAATGAAAACTTTCCAAAAGAAAACAATTTGCTGCTTTCTGAAGTGTAACAGTGAATGAAGCAACCATGGCCCTCGGTTTTTACTTTACACTCAGCTTTAAGAACACTCCTGAGAGGAATGTGTTCAAAACATATGGAAGGAGGCCTAAGCTCCCAAGCTATCTCAGTTTCTACGCTGAACCTTCCACCACCTATCAAAGTTACATTTCTATTTCTGTAAGGAGCGAGGATTTCATGAAAGGATGCAGTCTCAATGAAAAAACTGCTAAAAGCACATATAAGGAATTCCCTACGTACAAAATGATCTCCAGCCAATTATAGTAACAATCTTACTACACTTAACAGGTACTTTTATACACCACCAGTTCCATAAGGCACTGATGTCTCCTGGCATTAGAAATACTCTGTGCTGTTTAGAAACTGCTCTATGAATTTCAAGGACTGGCTTCTCACCTCACTACTCTTTTTTGCATGACCATTAAATTCACAGTGCTTAATCTGGCACAATACTAGGCAACAAGTAAAATTATCTCCAGAAAATCAGCGTGAATTCATTTATTGGATAGATTTATTTCATGTTTCTCCTTCCCAGCTAGGTCCTGTTATTAGAAGCAGGTGTTCTGTCAGGGCAAACACAAAGTGTAGTGGAGCACAACTTCACTATATCCAAATACTGTAGTTATCACTATTAATGCAAGTCCTCAGTTGCTCTATCTTCTGCTGGCAGTCAGTTAAACTACGCTATCACAGACACAGAGAACTGAGACCACAGAGTTGGTATTTCTATTTGTCTTCAGAAACAGCTCCCCCTAAGCCTCTGCCAGTTTCCCTCAACCCTGCCTCTTAAAAAAACGTTCTGGAGACAGAGCAAGTTAAATCCAAAAGCACTGTATAATCTCATTAACAATCTGAATCTAATCAGAACTCCAAAGAAACACAGGGATCAAAAGAACTTAACACATCTTTGTAAGGCAACGGGCTAATGGTATTCTTAATTTCCTGTATCTGTAACAGGAAAAACTCAACAGCTTGAACTATTCCAGTGCTACTGTCATACATACATATTTCTTTGTTCTAAGTATAGATATAAAGGTTTCTTTAAACGACTAACATGCATATCTTACCCAATGAAATGCAGCAGTATTTGCTATCATCTAGAGATTTCTCCAACTTTTAGAAGTTTGAACTTAGATCGCCGATCATGTTGCTAACATTTTAAATTGTGAATCCGTTTTACAGTACTTAAAACATATATTAAAAAAGTTACCATGGGAGGGCGAGCAGTAATTGGTCCAAAAGGTGGAGGAAGATTCATTTTATTCATAAGATGAAGTACCTGAAATGATTAAAGAGAAGCAAGATTTCCTTTAAATAAATAATTAAAGGAAAATAGTTCCTTGCTAGGTAGCATAGCAAATAACTTCTGGCAGATGTAAACCAGCATAATTTTAATGAAGACACAACTACATCGGTCTATTAATGTGAAAGCCTGCACTTGAGATCCAATACTACTTGAGGTCCAATTGCAGTTTTTAGGTTGCAAAAAAGGCTAATCGAAAAAAGTAAAGCATTGTCTCAGAACGAAAATCCAAGTACTCGAGTCACACCTAATTAGGAAGATCATAACCAGTTAAGTCTGCAGTGTCGATGAACAGTTACATCTGGTCAATGAAATCTTACTATCTCAACATAGTAAAAAATTAACATTGGTTAACACTATCACAGGAAAACTTAATATTTACTATGACAAAAAATATTTTTGTGGGTAATTAAAAGAGGAAAAAGGAGACGATTTTATTTTTATACTTTCTTTTTTTGCCATTTTTTTACTTACCTGGACATAAAATTTGGGCACACTTGCCAAGGCATTTGCTATATTTGCTAGAATTGTACTTGAAGGTGGTGGATACAAATATTTGAGACAAGAATTGATGGGAAAGGTGAGGCTGAAAAAAAAGATTGAAAACAAGGAATCTTAGCACCATTGTCACATAATGAATGACAACAATTAATGATTACTAGAGGTTTAACTATTCATTACATCTGAAGTATCACTGAAATATTACTTTTTCCCTTAGAACAGTTTTGGGGCACTTATACCTCTGGAAAAACAAAAGTCAACAGTATTCTGCTGTTACCACTGGGATAACCTATTCAGTCCTCCAACTCTTCCTGAGAGAGTAATGCCTCGTGCTAGGAGGTTATTATGCAATCCACAACTTCACGGCTCAAAGCACAAGTTGCTACTCAACTGTGAGGATTCTAAACTTGAAGAACTAAAATTTCATCTTTAGGACAATTCCTACAGCTATGCATGTAGAACAGTTGCAAACAAAACAAGAGAGAATGCAGCACACTACATTTGCTCTTGTTCAACAGCGCATAACTCTTATGTAAAAATAACAGAATAAAGTAACGATAACAAAAAAAAGCACTAACCCATGGTTAGGTGCAATTCCAGTCTCAATTTTAACACAGCTTGGTTCTTTCTTCTCTTCGTCTTTCACTGGTTCTTCTGAACTGAAAAGTAATTTAGCGTTAACAACAGGGCAAAATTTAAGTGCCTTATATAATGTATGAAATATGTTTAACCTCACATATTAAAAGAAATATATTAGTATAGTATTTTTAACCTCTTTTATCAATGGCATTACTACAGCCATTATTAATTCTTAAGAATTAACACATGTACATACTTACAGTAGCTAGACTTCTGAGGCCTACATAAATAAATATTTAAGCAGATTTAAGTAAGTCTCCCTATATTTAAATACTTCTAACTTAAATCTACTCACAGGAAAAGAACTAAAATTACTTCATGTTGCTCTTTGTTCAGAGACTGCATAAAAACAAAGGTGTTTAATATCGATTTGTTCATGTTCAGAGTGGAATAAATAACTTAAAACCCCTATAGTTGATTTTAATTCAGCACTGTCACATAGCTTCTATCACTTAGTTACATATTACACAGTAAACTTAAAAAAGTAAGTTGCATAGTTAGGCTTTCAACTAAGTACCTGATAGACTACTGAAACCCAAACTATCACAGTCTTTGGTCACACTAACATTAGGATTCATTGACTGCTTTTTTTTTTTTAAATATGCAATATTCTTTAACTATTTGAAGAGAGACTTGGACACTTTTGTTTGTTCTGCTCATTCTTCTAGCTCGATATGTGCAGATCAGTTCCAGCCTAGAAGCCAGTGGCTATAATGGTATAGTCTTATACAGTTATGCTAGCAGGTGCCTGACTCTCTATTAGATTAGAAAGAAACATCAGGAAAGCACTGCATGCACTGTTCAACAGCAAAAGAAAATTAGAATCCTGACACAAAAAAAAAAACAGAAGAGTTTTTTTAAACATGGGGAACCTGTGCAACACAGAGGTCAGCTTACACAGACTGGAGTCTTGCTCTGTAAATGAGAACAAACAGGACCTTCTGTTGATTAAAGATATTAGTAACTATAGAAATAAGGACGGGAATTATTACATGATGATATTGAATGAAACAAAACTAATGGGAGGAAGGCAGTCACTTATCTATAGATCTGAAACTGCCTGTTAACACTTCTAAATGGTTACGATTTATCCTTTGACTTAACAGTACTATGAACGTATCATGAATACAGAATTTCCTTTCCTTGACCACAAACACAGAAACTAAATTATTATGAACCTACCTTTTACACTTCTCTGAGACAGAAGGCTGGCTAAGTACCTGCACGCTATCTTGTTCCTTTGCAAATTCAACAACTAAGGTGTGACCTAAAAGTTTCAGCTGATGCAGTCTTGACAAAGCCTTCAAATAATTATAATAGAAAAAAAGAAAGAAAGGGAAGAGGAAAAACATCAGAATTATTTCAAAGCATAACTGTTTTTTCTTTGGTTGGCAAACTCGCCATAGGATGCCATCCCAACTGCTTTAAGCTAAGTCTGTGCCAGTACAGGCACAGGTAGCTCCGTACCGCTCCTGCATTCACAGCACTGCTTTTAGCAGCCTCTTTCCTGCTAGCAGGAAGGAAAAAGATGAGGCTGCGCAACTAGAACCACTGAAGAGACTTAGGTCATCTGAACACAGTAGCAAGACTATAGCCTTAACAATGATACTTATTACATAGTAAATAGCCTAGTAAATGTCTATGATTTCAAGTAACCAGATTCTTGTTCATGAACTACAAACATGCTGAAGTCTACTAGTAATAGCTGGGAATTTTAAAATCAAGATTCTTAACAGTGACACTAGGAAGCTCCAGCATTCTGCAAGTCCAGACCCTGAGGGGCTGCTAACAATTGACACAAAGTAACCTAAATTCACAGCTGTTCACCTCATGCTGTCTTTGTAACTTTTTTGAGTAGTACTTTACAGCATGACCTAAAAAAAATAAAAGCAACACCAAAAAAACCCCAACAACAGCATAAGAGGGAATTTCAGGACACAGGCTTTCTGCCAGATTCATATTTAAAAAGCATTATTAGTATTACCTTCTTGGCATCCATGTCCCCCATTAACATGGTAGCTTTCTTTTGCTTATCAAAGTTGGGCATTCAAGGCAGTCTTGAATTGAGTACATCGCTATGTCTGAATTTTATGGCAAATATGCAATTATGCAGGAGACAAGTAAATTATGTTTGGTTTATAGCTTACATATAAATGCACACACACCCTAGACAAGGCCCTGATCAGTCTCAACTCATGTAAGTTTGCCATGTTCTAAATGACAGGTTGGATCAGAAGACTTCTACAAGACCCTTCCAACCTACCTTTCTTATGACTCTACAGAAACATTCACTTTATCAAATCCTTCAAGCGCTCCCTGAAACAGAACTCTAATATTACACTGCTTTCCATTTTTTTCCCCAACACTGAGCACTAGATGATGCATAAAACATTTTAGAGCAGAACTGGCAACTCGGAAAAGTGCTTTCCTAAAACATTCAATAACAAACTCAATACAAACCTTCACAGCTGCATTTTCAGTAGGAAAGGTAGCAAATGCGGTATGTTTCTAGAAAAGAAAAGAAAATTATCATATTGAATTCAAGTAAAAAGGGTAAGAAATTGCATTTAAAATATATATCCACAAGCAATTAGTAAATTCAAGTTTACGTTTTTGGAAGCTTCCAGATAGTAGTCATTTAAGTCCTATATAAGGCAAAGGTGAAGGACTAAGGAAATTTTTTTGAAGTATTTAGGACAAGCATCTCCTGCATTAAAAAACTGAGATAGGAATTCAGCAGTTTGAGGAATATAGGAAAACAATCATTTCTTTTCTAGTGAGCAAAAGCCATCCTAAACTGCAAACAAGTACATATTGATAAAAAAGTTTAAACCTCTTTTCAAAAAAGGAAATTTATTTCAGCACCTCTCAGCAGAACATGTTCATCAAAGCAGCTCCTAGAAGTGTTACTTTTCCTGTTGCAAAAGTCATAACTATTGTTATGCTCTGAAAGTTTGGATGGTTTCTAACTAACATTTTCCCTTACTTTTTAAGTACAAAAAAAACCCTTAAACTTATCAAATTAGATCTAAATCTCACAGAACACGCAGATCACCTTAACCTTAAATTTAACACATTTTATTACTTCATCTTGCCACTACATGATGGGGTATTAAAAACCCAAAAGATTAATAATGCTATCAGAAAAATTGTAATGAAGTCAGTATTTTTAATATTCTATAAAAGAAAGCATGACCCTGACGTAAGCTGCAGACATCATTTATCTGCAAGTTCTGCAGGAATACAAAGCTCTTCCCAAACCGCATTCTTCACCAAACAGATACTCCTATGTTTCTGTAATCTAGAAGAAAAAAGTAAAGATCTCAAGAGATAAAACTGCGAAACTGCATCCCTACATCTCCAACAGACACTTCTGCACTGCCTTCCCACAGCCTTATTCCTAACAACAAGCGAGGCCAAAGCTGCGGGCAAGGGCACAGGACTTGCAGCCGACGGGGAGACGGGACCCCCGTGACAAACGCTCTCCCGACCACACCGCCTCGGCCCGCCGCGCCTCTCCCGGCACCGGCACCGCTCCCGCTCCGCCCCGGGCGGGGAGAAGGAAGAGCCCTGACCCGGCAACCACGCTCACCCCTTCTCCCTGCGGCCCGCTCCCCCACCCCTGAGGCGCGGCAAGCGGCCCAGGGCGGCGGCAG